CTGTATGTATTGATTTTTTCTAGATGGATGGAATACCAATGAATGCTGAACACCAGTCTAAAATGGAAAAGAATAAAATTAGGAAGGTAAAAAGATAACCATATTTTGTCGATGCTGCGTGTTGTTGCCACAAAAATTCTCTGAAATCATGTCCATATTGTTGATGTTGAAACCTACGAAATTTCTAAACTAAAAATATATAAAGAATTAAAAAAATATCTCAAATTTAAAAGTGTAGGAAAAAACAATGTCTTGATAAGAAAATATACCACTTAATATTTTTAAAATATTAAAAAATGCATAAATTATGCAAAATCAAAGCTTGTAACAATTTTAGGAAAATATATTATAAATCAGATAAAAGACCACCATTTCTTTCCCTGTATGTACATAATATAGTTTATTACTTATTTTATAGGGAACTACTACTGTTGAAAAATCAGCTGATCCAGATGTGCAAGTAGATGAGGTACAATAATGATAAAATTTAATTTAAAAACGAGCTGTACTTTTGTATTTGACAGACAGTAAGCATTTACAATTTAGTAGGAGTAGGAGTGGTCAGTAATATTTTAATATAAATCATACAAATTTGTTTCATTTGCCTGGGCTGAATGTCTAATACTTATAACATTAACAAATAGTTTGTTGTTTGCTTTAATTTGTTTTTTAAACTTATTCAAAATTTACAGTGCATTGACTTGGAAGTTATGACAGTAGCAATGGAGCCTGATCCAAATGCAGCTAAGTGGGTAATACCACTGATGTTATCAGTATTGGATAGGGCAATCTTGGTTAGTCCAACAGGGAAGTTGAATGACAACCTTATCCATGGCGCATTGCGGCTAATTATGAATCAGTATCCCAGCGTACTTTGTCAGTCGCCTATGAGACAGAAGCTGAAAGGCAGAGGATATGAATGTTATCTAGACAAGGGAGATAAAATAAATCGTTTTGTTCAGGTTAGTATGTTGTACAGTATAAGTAAATTTGTTTCTGGCATCCATAAATTAGAATTAGTAGTAGAAGTGTAAGCAATTGAAAATAGAGTATGATATACAGTGCCTGTGAACAAGTACTAATCAGGGAGATGTAAAAATACATTTTTTTACATCTCCCTGTACTAATGCTCTGTTCTCTTGTGCATTTATGAAAATACAGAAGTGGCTTATATGATATTGGTTATATTAGTGGACTACTACTTAACACATTTTGGGGGTTAAACAATTTATTTTTATTTTGTGGTGTCATACTATAAAATGATGCAATGTATTGGACCATACTAAATTAGTTCACAATCTCATTTTCATATTTTCCATACTTTCTTTTTTATTGCAGATAATACATGACAAACAAAGGGACCACTGGTTCTGTGCCTATCTGAAAGGTTCCAAAGTCATGGTAGTGGACAGCATTAGAACGACACATTTAAGCGATACTTCATCTTTGTTTCTTCAGCAACTAGCTCGAATGGACAAAAGCATGTTAAATCAGAACATAGTGTTCCAGAGATGCCAGCAGCAAACTGATGTCTACAGTTGTGGGCTTTACGCTATTGCATATGCCTTTGCAGCTGCCAGAAGCGATGACATCCCTCAAATGAGGTAAGAAATGACCTCAAAACATTAAATCTTCCCTATAGATGTAGGTCCATTTCAATACCATACTCGCCCAGTTTTTCTTTGGTTTCATTTGTATGACTTGGGTATTACAATACAAGCCTCCATTTCAATGAAGACCTCCACTTTTTAGGACCAGGGTTCTTTGTCTTTACAGCTTGGATTTTAATTTTAATTAGAATAATTCTTATTTTTAAAAACACATACATTCGTTTGGAGTTGCAAAAATGTGGTATTGAAATGGAGAGAATCTTTAATTAGGAGACAATCTTAATGTGAAGTGCATAGTGGTAGGCATTAAAAGAAATATGAACTGCAGTGTTAACAATTTTTAAAATCTATATGGTGCGCCATTTTTGGGTCACAAGAAGTTAAATAAAGAGCTAACAGTCTCCACAATAAAACAGTCACCATTTCATAAAATAATGCAAAGATGAAATATTGATATATCATTGTTACATACCAAATTGCATATTGGCCTTAATGTAGCAAGACTTTTTCATACAAAACTGCTAGCATCCGATACTGTTGATTTGGTTTGAAGATAAAATTTGATTTTGCTTGACATCACATGCAACTAATAAGAACTGTAAAGAAATGCATTATTTTAAAAACATTTTAATTCCACCTGCCACCTCAATTTCTCAAATCTTTACTATATGCTTACTATTTAAGGAAGGTATAAAAAAGTCTTGCTTGAAGTAACTTAAACTTCAGTCAATGTCTCATATTTACAATACTATTCTGTGCTTATATTTCAGGTTTACTCAGAGTCAAATGAGAAGACATCTCAAAGGTTGTCTTGAAAACTTGAAACTGGCACCTTTTCTGTAGCACTTTTTGTTCAGTCATTAAAATGTAACAAACTATCATATAGTGGTAATCTTATTATATCATTACTTGCCATGTTTGAATCAGATTTTGCATTACACCAGGAAAAGATAGCCTAAAAAAGTTTGGACTACAGTACATTTGGATGATTGTAATATGTCGGGCGTATGACACAGGTCCTGTTGTTATGGTTGTTTATGGCAATGTAAATGATTCTGCACAGCCCCTAAACACAATACTCAGTATTACAATTACTAATTTTATAACTTGTAAGAAAAACTTTTTCTATTTCTGGAATGTAGTTACGGCAGTTTTGTTTAAAAGCAGTAAACAATAACTATAATAAATGTAAACTTCAGCAATCATGTTGTAATAAAGTTGTAATTTTCATTTATTAGGCCCATCATCCCTCCATTAAAATAAATTGTTCATGTAAAATTGTTTTAATTTCCTTATTGAACAATACATTAAACCCCAGCTTCTCAACCTTTTTTAGGTGGCAACCCACTTTCAGAATGCACATTCTGTGGCAACCTAAGGCAATACAATATTGTCACACCAAAATGATATTTTCACGTTATCTGTTGAATACTTAGGCCCAGGACTTTAGGCCCACAAGTTATCAACCTGGGAAAGTCGAACACAAAGTAACGGTGATAAATCTTTTCGATTTATATTACATAACACAAGACCTTTTATATTGTGTGCAGAATGTTCAATTTTATAATATTATGGAGGAATGACTGCTCCAGTTATTTGAAATAGAGGTGGCCCTGGGAAGGACTCATTTCATTTCATTTGCACCATAATAATATATATAAAAATATAGTTTTCATGAGGCAGGGTTGCCCAAAAGTAGATTAATCTACTGTCGACGGGCTCTCCTCATGACAACAACGAATGATATAAAAATACCATGTAAACAATTATAATTCTAAATACAGATAGGGTGCTAATACCACCATGGTTGTGGCTGAGGTAAGAAAATTAATGATTATGGCACCTCTACAGTAGATGGCCAGAAGTTGCACTCTCATACCGTACTTAAATTTGAATAATTTTTCCCCTCCATATTTTATAATTAAAAAATAAAAATAGGTGGGAGGGTGGCGGCTGGGTCCCCCATTGAATCCGCCACTGTGGAGAATAATTGGTACATTCATAATTTTGGAATGTTTAAAACAATGACAAATTTTTTACTAGTGTGCAGTCGACTTGGGCGACGCTGACTGGGCAAATATAAATTTTAAAAAAAGAAGCTTGTATGTCCCCACCCAAAAACGGAATCAAAAAAGCAAAGAAGCAACTACAGTAATCATTTTAAACATTTTTGTTTATTTTTAACTGGCATGTCTTGTTAATGTAAGGTGTATACTTGCCTAATTTCAATTATCTTCCTTGGAGATATTGCAGATATATTTTATGTTTTGAGATGCGCTTTACCAATTTTTCCCTTTTTTTTTTCTGAAAGTCGGATGCAATCTCGCAACCCTCAGAAATGTTTTGGCAACCCAAATTTGGGTTGCGTCCCATAGGTTGAGAAGCAGGGCATTAAATGATGTGGTAATTCCTTGTCCCTGTCGGTCCAAGCATATTTTTACATACTGATTGTAATATATCATCTAAAATTTGCTGTAAAAAGTTTGACACTGTACTCAGTGGTACAAAACTTTATTTACGGTATTTTGTTTTCAGTATTCCAATATAAGTCCAATTTACAAGAGACAATGTACTGTTTGTTGTTGTTACCAATGTAATGTAATTTGTTGATTTAGGATACTACTGGTACACATTTGCTGAGACTGTTGTGCTTAATGCAGTGTAAAAGAAAAACCAGAAAAACATTTCCATTTAAATGGAAAAGTCCCCGTTATACACTTTTTTTTATGAGAACCAGTAAAAATTTGCCCAGACTCAAGACGTTCTTATTTTTTTTTGCTGATTTTAGGCTCAAAATTTTCATATTTTGTACTTATTTTACACACTTTTCAGAGATAATCATTCTAGATAACAGCAGTAAATTACTGTACTGCATTTAATGCAATACAGTTATTTTAGAGATCATTTAGTCATAATAATAGAGAGTATTAAATAGTCATAATCACTACTGCACATATTGATTGGTACATATTTATTGGTTTTACATTAAAAAAAAAAAACCAAATTAATAAAACTTTATCTGGATTTACCTCAATTTCGTCTTACTTTTTTTCTTCATTTATAAGCAATTCTGGCCTCACTCAGTGTTTAGTATGCAATCTATCTTTCTTTTTTCATGATCTTATGATTAATTAGTTTATAAAGTTTATTGATCGCATATCATAAACAATTGAGTGTTTTCCTTAAATTTAATTATGAGTTATCATGGTCCATGGAGGACCTCCATGATCTAGGGGTCTAGGCTAGGCCTATATCTCCTCCAAACAACAAGGCAACAAGCAAGGCCCACGGCCCAAGCACCGTACAAAACAACAATCAAAGGCCCTTACTTACGTATTAGGTAGGCCTAGGCCTTGGTAGTGCTGTACGTAGGCCTAGGCCGATTCATAATGTTGAACTGAACGCTATCTAGGCCAGACGAGGCATCTAGGGCCTAGACTTAGATCTTACACGGGCCATATACGCCGTCATAGGCGTAGCAGCAAACGCAAAAGTCTCCTCAGCCTGCTCGCTAACATCGTCATAACACGGCTGGTGGTGTTGTTTTATTTTGAATGTGTTCAAAAGGTATAATACATGCATGACGTAAAACGTAGGAAGCCACGCCCCTCGGCTGAACCCGTTGTATTTAGCAACTACCTGCACCGCGCACTGTAGGTTTGTCTGTTTATCTGTTCTCCACAAGATATAGTACTTTTGTAGAGGGCGGTATTTGCGCTTGTTTAAAGCTGACCTAAAATAGATCTAAAAGTATGTAAACATAAGATGATAAACATAGTGTAGGGCCTATGATAGTTGCATGGAGGAAATTTTTCCCCTCCATGATAGTTGAAAGAATTTATATATACAATGCTGTGCAAATAACAATATGTGTAAGAAAAACAAAATATGATGCTTACGATAGATATTGGAGAGACCTATCTTTAATACTTTACACAAACAGCGAGTTTATTATACAAATGAATTATTATTATTATTATTAATATTATTATTATTATTATTCATTATTATTATTATTATTAAAAATATATTTATCATCATCATCATCATCATCATCATGTTTTTAGCCATGATAAATTCTCATTCCTTCTTATGCAGTTTACACAATCAAACTAATAGGAATGCAAAGGTGGTCAGTATATAAGAGAGCAATATATTTTATTTGTGCCATCAAACAATTATATAGTAAATACAATATAAAAGCTATAACAATATTAATAACAACAATGACAATATTAATAACTTACGAGTAGTCATGCTCTTCTATCCATTTTTTTTTCATTTTAATTATCAAATATGATATTCAAAAAATATTAATGATAATATTAATAGTTACAATTATAATATTTCAGATTCAATTAGCATCAGTCTGTCTGCATATATAGCATATATTCAACATAGCTTTATCAATGCACTTAAATTCATTTTTTTTAATTTTCAAATATATTTTAAACATATTAATTGTAATAAATAGCTCAGGTATAATTATAATAATTTCAGTTTCATTTTTAGCTACTCTTCTGCATAGCAAAAGAATCTTAGCTTTGTAATGTAATAATGATAATCACAATCAATAAAGTTACAATTATGATAATATTAATATAATGATTAGGCAATAGCCTACTAATAACAATAACAACAAATAACACATTATAACAATAACAGATGAGGCCGAGTAAAATAACTATTTGCAAAATATTATATCCGATGGAGTTTTGCGTCAGGAGAAATAATATGAAATATTGTTTCTCTGATGCAAAACGCCATCGTAAAAGCAGTACCGCTGCTACTTGGGGATTGGATTCATCGCTCGCCAACCGCAAACTCGGTGGTGTAGTTAAGTCATCGGACTAGTTAACCTAGAGGTCGTGGGTTTGATTCCTATATGAAACAATCGTGATTTTTTATCATGTATTTGAATTGTACTGAGCATTTAGTACTATATAACACGTCATGTGGGCAAACATCATTTCGTGAAATATTATTGGAGGAAATAATAAAATTCTAGTGTTGTACTTTACGAATTTTAATAACAAAAATTACTATAATAATAATACAGGTAATAATAATAAACAATAAGAATAATAATAATAATAATAATAATAATAATAATAATAATAATAATAATAATAATAATTGTTATTATTATAAACCAGCGTACTTTCGCTATATTTAAAACTGAGTGATGTGAATGTGACAATATTATTGTATAATATGCGGTTAAACTCTTATATAACTTATGCAAGAGTAAGTAAATTGAGAAAGCAGCTTAGCAGTCGGCTAATCTGGTGTGTGTGCTGAACCGTGGAGATCTTTAGATCCCCGGTTCATTTCCCATCGCTGCCTCTCATTTGTGTTTCAGCTAGAGGGCTGAAATACAGGTTACAATAGCGCACCGTCTTTCGGATAAGACGTTTAAGCCGTTGGTTCCGTGTGCATTTATAGCCCATGTGCACGTTAAAGAACGCAGTACACTCTTCAATCCAATCCAATTCCAGTAAATAATTTATCATTTTAAAACACATAATATGGAGAATATGGATATATTAAAAAGTCAATTTTCTTGTTTTGGTCATTTAAGTTGGTTTTGGTAATACAAACCAGTACAGAAAAGTTAAAAGTTTTCTACTTACTGAGTTCATAGCGGGCGTGCTTCGATCGTGCTCTATGGTAAAAAAATTAATATACAACCGTTAGTGGGCGTCCTACACAGCGTGACGTTTTTACGAACGGGACTTTGCTCTCTTGTTCTATTTATACTCTTTGGTGTGGCTTACAATGAAGGCATCCTCTGATTGGTTGAAAGTGTCGATATTCTTCCCAGTGGCTATGGAAATCTGTTTTGTGATCGATGGATTTGGCATTGATTGATGTACATCAAAGATACTAGAAACGACTGTCTCTTATACACATCTAGGATGTGTACAAGAGACAGCGTAGGCGGCGCCCTTCTTTTTAACCATGCAAGTTTCCTATACTTCGTGCCCAACGTACAGGGCGCCCTTCTGTTGCTAAGTATATCCAGACGCAAAAGGCGCCCTTCCTTTTCCACTAATGGCGGAAAACTTTTTCACTAAGAGTGCGGCCATGCGATTCTGCGCTGTATTGTTGTTTTATTCTTTACTGATTCATGATTATGCTTTAATTGTTTTGTGTATTATTTGGATAATTGCAACGATTTCTACCGCCACCAAGGAGAATATATATTCACCGATGTCACTGTCTGGGTGTCTATTCCAGTTTGTTTTTATATCTACTAGTATCTTTGTTGAGAATTGATAATAAAATACGCGACGACTTGGTAGCGAAAGTTTGGCACAAGTTTTTGATCCAGCTGTAGGGGGCGTCCCATTTTTCGTATTCCCACCATGCATTTCGGTGGAACACGGTGGAACACTTTTTTTGTGTGGAGAACTCTATCTTGTATTTCTAGTATCTTTGCTTTGATGTACATGTTCCTGGTTTTCGACGGACGATATGAGCCAAAGGTGAGATGATGTCCAGCTGATTGACTGATTTCAGGTTAGTTGTTTCGACTGTGATTTTCAGACCGAATGACTACAAGTTTATAAATGTTTTTTCCGTAACTTCGCCTACGGTCTGCGTTGCTGCGTGAGCAATTTTTGAGAATTGCCAGGCCGCGATTTTTTTTTCCGTACGAAACATTTGCATGAAAATTCACTCGGGCCATCTCGGATTGACTCGAGTGAGTACGATACGAGGAACAAGAGCAGACACTTCGCAATGTCGTGACGCTCGAGTTTTA